AGAACTAATTAAACACGTCCCAAATATAATTTTAACAAAGAGATCATTGGGGGGGGGGGGGCTGCTGTGGTTCTTTCCAGACTGTAAGAGCACATGAACTCTAGATCAGGGGGTTTATTTTGAGTGACCCCCAAAGTTTTAAAATATAACTGCTGGGAACGCGTTTTGCGAGCATTTCAGAAGAAACTGCTATAAGGCAATTCCCTCTCAGCACAAGGAAACCCAAAATCAGTCGCGATCCCACGGTCCCATGGCAGCTGGGCGACCCTATTGATAGTATCAAACGACCCCACATTTGGGAACCTGGGCCCTATATTTGAACTGATATTTGTAATGCAGAACTTGCCATACTAATTGCAGTTTCCTGTATTATGGTTACATAAGAAATGGTTTAAGATAAGACAGTTTGCTGGGTTTTAACTATTAGAAAACACAAAGTGAAGTATAAATATTAAAGTCAATTGACGTCCAGAAGCAAGTCGAAATAGAAGAGCACCGTGAGTGACGAATACATTAGTGCCATGTGCTGTTTAGTGTCACCCACAGTGTCACGATGTCACCGGGGACTGTCACATTCCTTTATTTGGCCCATTCACACAAATATATGTAAAATATATTCTTGACTGTTTAAATGAGTTGTTTACTGATAATCATTTCACTAAACTGCCCACATCTCCGGGTTTCTCGATCCTTATATGTATGTAGAAATTATAGGAGCTAAATCTCTTATTCTTTGGGAGGGGGGGGGGATGGCCGAATGGTTATCGCCTGTGCGTTATATCATAAGGTCTGTTATTGAGTCAACTAGCGTGGTTGTACGTGACAAGGAGTAGGGTCGCCTGTCCAACCTCGTAAGTCTTCTCTGGGTCCTAAAGACCCCTACGCGTAAGTGAAATATTGAAATAAAATTCAACCATATGTTAGTCCCGAAATGACCTATTTTGTGTCGAGTGGACGTTAAACATCTCTCTCTCTCTCTTCGTGGGCACCTAGACATGGACACAAATGGGTCGCAACGCATATGATAATGTACCACGAATGTATATAAACTGATTTACATTCAATCGTTTCTGTTTTTACTGTAATTTTTAATCAGTTATGTTCGGCGAAATATGGAAAGAGTGCTATGGTTATTCCAGTCTACACTGATAATATTCTGCTGCCGGGTATGTTTAGCCTTGTTCATCGAGTAGCTTCATTACAAATGGCACTCGAAAGCATTCTGACACGCGATTCGTGTGCTAATTTTAAAATGTTCTTTTGTCGTAAATATTAGATATCAAAAGTCCATCTGTTCACGGTAAGATAACAGCATCAATACTGATTTAAATTGACAAGTTAACTGTGGGTGACATTGAGTTAGAGACTTGCTTCCTTTAAATTATGCCCTTGAAGGAAATTGTATAAAACTATAACGTGTCATATTACTGTATCTATCTATACAGTGATTTGTGACATCAGTCAAGTCCTCGTAAATACCAGACAGGGATAGCATCTTAATGTCATTACTTATATAGTGCAGCACGAACTGGTTCTTGTCACTGTTGTTATTGGGAGCGGTAAACACAGAAATATTGACATGTTCACTGACCTCGTGGCTCGGTATACATTAAGACATCTTGTTTAATTTTTTTTTTGTTTTTAGTGTAAAGTATAGAAGGATATTTGGCGCCGGACATGATTGATTTTTGTTTGATAATTTAATTATATGTAGGATTACGTTTGATGTGGTTTGTGAGGGTATGGGGGTCAGGGTATGGGTTGTGTATATCCTATTGATAATATTGTATCTCATAAGTTCGTAAATGAATTGAAGTTTGATATAAAGGAGATAAATCGCTTATATTTGGGACCTAGAAATTGACACAAATGGGTCGCATCGAATATAATAATGTAATATAAATATATATAAACTGATTTACATTCTACATTCAATCGTTTCCGTTTTTTACTCTAATTTCAAATCCGTTATGTTCGGCGAAATACGCCAGAAGTCTCAATCGAATGGCAATCTCTAGCTTCTGGTTATTCCAGTCTACACCGATAGTGTTTATTGCGCATGCCCTCCAGATAAGAATATGTCGTCACCGTTTGACATGACTTGTGGAATATGTCTAGCCTCGTTCTTCGAGTCTCTTGTTACAAATGGTGCTGAAACGCATTATGGTACACGATTCGTGTACCAATGGTAAAATGTTTATTTTGTCTTGAATATTGGATATCAGAAGCCCATGTTTTCCCGGTAAGATCACAACATCAATGTTGATTTAAATTGACAATTAATTCGTGTTTTCAATGTCGAAGACTTTGGATGATAAGTTAGAGACTTAGCTACATCAATGTTGATTTAAATTGACAATTAATTCGTGTTTTCAATGTCGAAGACTTTGGATGATAAGTTAGAGACTTATCTACATCAATGTTGATTTCAATTGACAATTAATTCGTGTTTTCAATGTCGAAGACTTTGGATGATAAGTTAGAGACTTAGCTACATCAATGTTGATTTAAATTGACAATTAATTCGTGTTTTCAATGTCGAAGACCATGGATGATATTGAGTTAGAGACGTAGCTACTTTAATGTCCTACTTGTCTTCACCAGCTGGGCTAAATGGAACGATCACACGCCGTGCGGTGTGGGCTAGATCTATTTGACAAAGCCAAACACATATTTCCCTAAGGTCACGAGATATACACAGGGTTAGAGTACATGACTGTTGCCGAGGATTGTGGGTTAGTGTTAATGTAAGGCGTAGGGCTAGGGTGGGTTAGAGTTAGCGCTAGCCCTGTTTACATCTCGTGACCTTGGGGAAATAGTGCGCCTGACCGTGTCAAAAAGATTTAAACGTGCGGTGTGCTATAATGGATATTTTTTCCGGAAATGCCCCGCACTATTTTCCCCTCTTATGCGAGAAAGGAGCTTGAAAACCCCCCTAAAGAGTTGCCAGTGAAATGAAATGAAATGGGGTTTAACGTCCTACTGTTCTGCTCCGAACTGGGCTAATGAAGACGGGCATACGCCATACAGTGTGGTATGAGGGACATTTTGCCCGGACAGCGACACTACGGCCTACTCTTATATCCAATTCCAACTGCAAGCCAATGTGTACGCGGGACCTCGGTTTTTCGTTTAATCCGAACGACTAGACAGCTGACCTAGACAGCTGACCTGCATCACTGACGAGGGCGAACCACGCCGGAAATGCTGGATGAACTTTCTCGGCCAATGGAGGGATCGAACACTCAACCTCCAGACTAGCGAGCCAGCGTCTTACCCACTTAGCCACCGTGGATCCCCGACTGCCAGTGAGAAATTAACTGTCTACAGCTGCTGGATTTTCCGACGTGATTCTACTTTGTCAGTGATGCAGGACGGAGGGCCGGCCTGACAGGGACAGCTGTCTAGTCGTTCGGATGGGACGAAAAACCGAGGTCCCGTGTACATATTGGCGTGCACGTAAAAAGATCCCTTGGCAGTTGGAATTCGATATAAGAGTAGTCCGTAGCGCATCTGCCCGGGCAAAATTTCCCTCATAGCACACTGTATGGCGTATGCCCGTCTTCATTAGCCCAGTTTAGGAGCAGAACAGTAGGACGTTAAACCCCATTTCATTTCATTTCATTTCATTTCAGCTGCTGGAATACTACTAAATCTAGAACACAGATTGTTTACAATTTATTTTCCAAAAAGCTATAATATTTTGGTAATTTACGAATCATACGACAATGATTTAATTGGTTGTAGAAAAAACTACACTCTTCTTATCACGACAATATTTAATTGTTTTTAATTGAATTTTAATTACACTTACTCTTTTTTGGCATAAGTTAAAATTATGAGGCTGAATATGATTAAGTAAACATGGACCGAATGAGTGAATATTCACCCGAAAATATTCACACAGAAACTTATAATTGCATATTCTAAAAATAAAAATCTGAGCCCTGTTTCTCGAAATTTTAACTAAAGATAAAATCCAATTTTGATTGGCTAAGCACTAAAATCAATCTAATATTATCCAATCAAATTACTAAAATTTGGATTTTATCTTAGTTAAAATTTCGTGAAACAGGCCCCTGACCCGCCCTGAACGATATCCTAGTGCACAGTAAATTAGATTAAATAAGACCAGTCTCCACCCTACACAAAAACAAACCATATATCAAATCCTATCCCTAATCATTAGTGAATAAAATCAACTAGATATAAGAATCCCTAGCCCTAACCCGGTGATGTGGAACAAACACGATTATTTTTTTAAGAAAAAATCCAATTCGTAGTAGGAAACACACTAATGTGGCTCTCCCCCGAGAGCCTCAAATTTATTCTTTTTCTTCTTCAGAAACAAAAATACCAGAATACCAGAAGTACCATCCAAGGAAGACCATCAGCGCCACCAACACCAAAAACAGTGAAATCACTTTTGTAAATTAATCTAATGTATTGTATGTATTTTTAATAAAACTAGGAAATATCGCGAACTAACTTTTCATCATCCTAGGTCAGTGCTTATGTGGAGACTTAACCTCTCCCCCAAATTCTTAAAACCTGGAGCTAGCCCCAATGCTTACCCTAACCCTAACCTACAATCTCGTCAACAATCACGTGCCCTAAACTTAGTTACATTTCAACGACCGTGACAAAAATTGAGCTGGCCTTAACAAATAGATTTAGCCCTGAATCTATCGTTACCTGGTAAGTGAAGATGGACAAAGATAACTAATTATCAGAAAATGACCTTTATAGTTATGTAACTTGTTTTGTTTCCATCTTCGCTTACCAGTAAATTGATCACACAATTTGAATGCTATAATAGATGACGTCGGGTAATCTTATTAAGCGGTTTTGGTAGATAACAGAATCACTCAGTGCCAATCAAAGCGACAGTTGTTATTTGGAGACATCACATTGTATTTTTGTTTCGTTTCACTTGGAGAAATGCGAGTCCAAAATTTACGTCGACCGTCAAATATAACGTGACCAACATGGCTGCCGCTGAAAGAAATCTAAACGACCCGACCTTTGGTCTGCCCGATTTGTCGTGTTTGACTGAGACTGAACGGATGCAAGTCATAGCCGTCATGCAACGAGCAAAGGTGGGTGTGTTTGTTTATGGTCCGATGAACGGAAGTGATTTATTGAAGTAAATATTCACCTATTTGCTGACAAAATTCAGTGTATTTTATCATTTTTTGTCATTTCCTTCACAGCTAGTGAGCTACGCCCACTGTTTACTGTTTAGGTAAATAGCAGATGAATTCAATGAGTGGAAATAGAATTTGATTTAATGATATTAGTCATACCATGGAGCAGATAGAAATCTAGATGCATTGGTCTAATATTCTTGATTTGACAGGTCATCAAATATTTTCTGTTTGTTTATTTGAGGTTAACCGTTAATAATCTCAGCCATATTTGGAAACAGTATAGGCTATATTTATTATTCATGACAAATTGTCTGGTGGATATTTATAAATATAAAATGAAAACCTCAATGTGTCTAAACCAAGAAATTATAAGGCTGTACTCTTCACATTTAACATAAAAACATGAGATGGGATTTAACAACAATAACATCCTATGACCTATGCCATACAGTGTGCTATGATTATGACTGAGGGAAATTTTGCCAGTACAGCGGTGCCATGGCCTACTCTTTTATTGAATACTAACTGCCAACTTGTAAAGAGATCTTTTACGGGCATGTTATAATGTGTTCACATGACCTCGGTTATTCGTCCCATCTGAATGACTACCAGTCTTTCCTTGCCAGGCCCTCTGTCCTGCACCACAGACATGGGAGGAAGCATGCTGGAAAATCCTAATGAACTGTCATGGCCAACACCGGGATCAATTGTCATATACGGATTAGCAAGCCAGTGTCTTACTCATTGCGGTACCGCAGATCCCTTTCACAGGGTGTCTAATGATAAGGGGGTTGGATGGCCGAATGGTTAGCATGTGTGCGCTGTATCATAAGGTCTGTCATTGAGTCAGCTTGTGTTGTTTTGATTCCCCGGTTGTACGTGACGAGTAGGGTCGCCTTTCCAACCTCGTGGATTTTCTCCGGGTCCTCCGGTTTTCTCCCACTGCTAAAGACCCCTAAGCATAAGCGAATTATTGAAATAAAGTTGAACCATGTGTTAGTCCCAAAATGACCAGGTTTGTATTGAGTGGATGTTAAACTCCATTTCTCTTTCTCAGCTGACTGATAACTGTTGTCCTTTGACCCTCTGTTTCAATTAACAATCATTATGAAATGTATCTAGATACTGCTCTTCCCCTACCTCCGTTCTACAGGTATTTTGAAGTCGTTACCTTCTCTTTGTCAGCGTATTCTTCTTTGTTCACCAGAAGAAATCATTTCTCGCCACATCTGACATAAAGTTATAATAATTCAACCCTATTTTCAAGTGCTAAAGACCCCTACGCGCAAGCGAATTATTGAAATAAAATTGAAACATATGTTAATCCCGAAATGACCTAGTTTGTGTTGAGTGGACATTAAACCCCGTTTTTTTCTTTCTCTCTCTTGCATTTTCCAAAAATTTTAATCATTTCTTTTCCTTACTTGGCAGGAATTTGAATTTGAGGAAGAAAAGAAAATGATGTCACCAAGGTAAAATTATTTGTTCAGTCATCAGCTTGCATGTTATTTTAATGTTATTTTATTTTAAATTCTAATTTTATGACATTTGATTTGAGCGATGGATACATTCTCCTGCTGGCCAATTTAACAACAAATCAAAGGTGACAAGAGTCTTGTAAGGTTGACATCATTTGTTTGGAGCCATGGTGGCTCAGTGAGTAAGATGTTGGCTCAGTAACCAGGAACGGGGGGGGGGGGGGGATGGCTGCATGGTTAGCACGCGCACGCTGTATCATAAAGTCTGTCATTGAGTCAACTGGGGTGGTTTTGATTCCACGGTTGTACGTGACAAGGAGTAGGGTCTCCTGTCCATCCTCATGGGTTTTATCCGTGTCCTCCGGTTTCTGCCCACTGCTAGGGGGGTTGGGTGTCTGAATGGTTAGCGTGTGCGCGCTGTATCATAAAGTCTGTCATTGAGTCGACTGGCGTGGTTTCGAATCCCTGGTTGTACGTGGCAAGGAGTAGGGTCGCCTGTCCAACCTCGTGCTGCTAAAGACCCCTACGCACAAGCGAATTATGAAAATAAAATTGAACAATATGTTAGTCCCGAAATGACCTAGTTTGTGTCGAGTGGACGTTACCCCCCTCTCTCTCCCCTCTCTCTCTCTCTCTCTGTCCACTGCTAAAGACCCATACACACAAGCAAATTAATGAAATAAAATTGAACCATATGTTAGTCCTGAAATGACCTAGTCTGTGTAGAGTGAACGTTAAGCCCCATTTCTCTCTCTCACTAAACAGGAGGTCTGGGGTTCCCCTTGTCCGTGGGTTCAGGACAGAGGGCGTAACAAGGACAGTGTCGGATGCAATGGAAAACCATTGTCCTGTTTACACATTGACATGCTCGCAAGAGAAACAGTTGGAATTTGAAATTAAAAGAAACAGTGTCGTCGCTGTCCGGGCAAAATTTCCCTCATAGCAAACTGTATGGTGTCGCAGTCGCAGCAGAAAACTAGGACCATAATCCCATTTTCATTTCTTTTATATTCTGTAGTTTTTCTGTTGTGTTTTTGAATTATATTTTTAGAAAATTATAATTCTGGCAGCTACATTGTAGTAAAGTTGTGTGTTCTGAATCCTATTCCAACATAATTCGTGAAAAAAGCCTTCCAATCATCTTGCCGATCTTGCCTTTTATGGGAAATATTATCAATTTTTATTTGACAGAGCCTCAATTTGACTGTTGTGATATATTGTAAATAAATAAAACTTTATTATGACATGAAACCAATCGAAGTCCTGTTGTTATGTATTATCAATAAATATAACATTATGACAGGGATCCAATCGAAGGCCTGTTGTAATGTATTATCAATAAATATAACATTATGACAGGGATCCAATCGAAGGCCTGTTGTTACATGTATTGTAAATAACTATAACTTTGTTATGATATGAAACCAATGGAAGGCCTATTGTGATATATTTTAATTAGATATAGTAATTATTATTACAGGAAACCAATGGAAGGTCTATTGTTGTGTATTATAACGTTATTATTACAGGAAACCAATGGAAGGCCTATTGAGTAAATATACAAATGTTATGAAAGGTTGGCAGTTTCGTTGGTTTGTTTTAGACACTGAGTCAGGATTATTGGAATATTTTGAGGTATTGTTGACTTAACTTGACAATTAATGATAATAATATAATTGCTTAAAGCGGTGGACACACTAGCCGAATCGTTCGGTCAAATCAATGGGCACTGAATTTCATTCTGCCGAATGGGAAACACACTAGGCGAAACCTTTGCCCGATTCACCAGTTGATTGCATCATCATTCACGTCACATGATTAAACATGTCGGCGACCATGTCTTTAAACAATCATGTGACTTCTCGATATGAGTGGATGTTGAGTGTTGATTGGCTAATAAATTCTACAACCGGGCGAATGCTTTGTCAAAGCAGACAGTAGGTGAATATATCAAATATTCAGCCGAATGAAAGAGGACACATTAGGGTGTAATTTTGGCACTGATTGATTGGGTCGAATCATTTGACTAGTGTGTCCATCGTTTAACAGTAATCAATCCGATTAAAACACAGATCCTATTTCGTTTTGTTTATTACTTGAACCAAGTTCTCTACAATAGGGTTGTTTATTGACAGATAATACGCTGTTAACGCAAAGCCTTAAACTCTTCCGATTCTAGCTGGGATATTAACAGGCCAACTAGCTATAGTACAGTAGGTGTTCCCCTATAAACTCTGATTCTATCTGGGATATTACCAGGTCACCTAGCTATAGTACAGTAGGTGTTCCCCCATAAACTTACCCTATTACCAGGCCACCCTGCTGTAGGTGTTCCCCCATAAACTTCTGCTATTCCATGCACGGTCTTGACGGTAATGAGTGCTCATATTTTAAAGCAATGTTAAATAAAGTCACTTGTGAGATTGGTGTCTGTGAAGACGATGCCTTAATAATTTTATGGTCGATCTGCCTTAAGTTTACATGTACACATAAGATAAAGAGTATCAATGGTTTATTTAACATAAACTTGACTGAGGGAAGAAGGTAACTACATGTATTTCCAAACAATATATTATCAGATCAATCCATGGAAGAAAAATGTAGTTGTCTCCCTTGGATGTATAAAATACCAGCAATAAACATGAAATATGACTGTCTGTATATGATTTAATCTGTTTAATTTACAGAAAGAAGAATATAAAAAACAACGACCAAGAGGTTCCATTCATCTTGCAGTAAGTTTTTTCTTCTTGAAATATATTTTGTGTTATTGTCAGCCCCACCCCAACAAAATCGACCCCCCCTCCAACCAGATCCACCCCCACCCTACCAAGATCCACCCCACCCTACCAAGATCCACCCCACCTTACCAAGATCCACCCCAACAAGATACACCCACCACCCCAAATGTCTTACCAGTTTAAACCACTCCCACCCTACCCACCATCAGGATCAGTCCTTAAAAATGATCCCCACCTTCCCCACCAACAGGATCCAATTGTTTTGATTCAATACTTGTTCAGGAAAGGAGTAGGGAGAAGGGAGTAGGAAGTAGAGGGAGTAGGGAGTAGGGATTAGGGAGTAGTATTACATGAAAATGAACAGGAGGTAGATAAATAAGAAATCTTAGGAGATTAAAGGGAATTTATATAAAGGTGTTCGTTTTGTAGTGAAGACATATCCTCCGCGTGACAAGAAGAAGGGTCGCCTGTCCAACCTCGTGGGATTTCTCAGCATCCTCCAGTTTTTTCTCTCTGCTAAAGTAAAAAAAAACTGGAAATTAAATTGAACCATGTGTTAGTCCCAAAATGATCTAGTTTGTGTTAAGTGGATGTTAAACCTCATTCGTTTTTTCTCATATCCTCCTACAAATGCCAACAGAAAAGCATGAGTACATCCGTTGTATTAATGAAGGTATTTATCTCAATTCATTGTTATATAAATTCAGTTGTATTCTTGAATTATCCACTGTAATGATATATCATGTAAATCTTGGAGTGTAGTATACATTAACAGCTTACTATTGTCTTCTGTATAAAGTGGCAGGTGGCTGAATGATCCAAGATGTGTGATTTAGATCATAAGGTCTGTCATTGAGTCAAGTAGGGTGGTTTCGATTCCCAGCTTGTACGTGACAACGTGGTTTCCTCCTGGTCCTTCAGTTTCCTCCCATTAATACCAATACCCCCACCCACAAGCGAAGTATTGAAATAAAATTGACCCATATGTTAGTCCTAAAATGACCTAGTTTGTGTTGAGTGGACGTAGAACCACATTTCCTTCTCTGTGATTGTCATCTCTTTTACATGTGTTTATTGATTATAAACTCATTGATTACTGCACGTTCATATTTCTCCTGTTAAAGAGAGATAACTCCAGTAGTTAGTGTCTTCTGTAGAGGTTGGACCAGTAGATTCAATTAATATCAAGTACCTTTGTTTCAGGCGTCAGTAATCTCCCCTACTGATGAAGATTCCCAGACTTTTACTGTCAATGCAGCTAATGGCGATGTCTACAGACTACGAGGTAAGCATTTACGTCATAGTAATATATTGAGGAGGTTTCTCAGTCATCAACAGGATCAAGTCAGCATCTTACTCACTTAAAGGACAATATTGGTGTCAGTCATAATTACATATGTGATAGAACTGGTTAAATACATACCAAATATAACTTTAACACAGAGATCATTGCTACCGGAGATGTGTAACAAGCATGTGAAAAAACGGGAAGTGACGCCAAACATGACAAACACGAGTTGTCCTTCTATATATCTGACTGAAGTAACAAGCGATAACAGACACACGACGGTGTCTCACAATTCAAAAATAGAATTGGCTGTCACTAGATAAGGGAAAACGAGGAAAATAGAAAAATCCTGTGCATTCCCCCATTTTTATTCATTCTGTTCTTAATAAAAACATGGTAATGCACAGACCTTTTCTAATTTGTTCGTTATCTTTTATCTAATGACAGCCAATTCTTTTTTTGAATTGTCAGATATCCTCTCACCATCTCATATAATAACTTTTCATCTTCAACTGAATTATCAGTGAAATGAAATTCGATCACGTGTCTGTTATTGCTTCAATCAGCTATATAGTAGGATAACTCGTGTTTGTCATGTTTGTCGTCACTTCCCATTTATTCAAGTGTTTGTTACACATCTCCCGTAGCAATAATCTCTGTGTTAAAGTTATATTTGGGATGTACTTAACCAGTTCTATCACATATTTTATAATGACTGACACCAATATTGTCCTTTAACCAAACTGGCGCCCAAAAGGGATTTACCAGATATGAATCACGATGGAGACTGAGAAAGAGCTTTTCATTTTGAGTTCTTACTTCTCTGGGTAAAAATTTTGAGTTCTTACTTCTCTGGGTAAAGATTTTGAGTTCTTACTTCTCTGGGTAAAAATTTTGAGTTCTTACTTCTCTGGGTAAAGATTTTGAGTTCTTACTTCTCTGGGTAAAGATTTTGAGTTCTTACTTCTCTGGGTAAAGATTTTGAGTTCTTACTTCTCTGGGTAAAGATTTTGAGTTCTTACTTCTCTGGGTAAAGATTTTGAGTTCTTACTTCTCTGGGTAAAGATTTTGAGTTCTTACTTCTCTGGGTAAAGATTTTGAGTTCTTACTTCTCTGGGTAAAGATTTTGAGTTCTTACTTCTCTGGGTAAAGATTTTGAGTTCTTACTTCTCTGGGTAAAGATTTTGGGAGTTGAGGAGAGAAAGAGTAACATTGTCTTTGTAACAAATTGATGGGACAAGGAAATCTACTGGTAAAGTGTGAATTTTAACAATTTATTTTATGATCAGTAGTGGAATACCGCATTTTATCAGTGAAATAAAAGTGTTATTCCACTGGCTAAAGTAGTCCATGTTGTTTTATCCCTAAAATGATTGTAAAATCATAAAATAAATAGAACATTTGTCGTTTTGTCGTGAATAACATATTTTATTTCATCTCTAAGCACGAAAACATTTATATTTTCGCTCATGCTACGCATTCGTGAAAATATAAGTTTTCTTGCTTCTCGATGAAATAAAATATGTTATTCACTCTAAAACGACAAATATCCTCTATGTCTCTCTATTTATTTTGTTGTTTTGCAGCCTCTGATGCTAGAGAGAGACAGCATTGGGTTGATAGATTACGTGCAACAGCTGAATATCATACAGCGTCAATCGCTCAGGTAACTTAATTACAATATCATACAACGTCAATCGCTCAGGTAACTTACTTACAATATCATACAACATCAATCGCTCAGGTAACTTTATTACAATATCATACAGCATTAATCGCTCAGGTAACTTACTTACAATATCATACAGCATCAGTCGCTCAGGTAACTTAATTACAATATCATACAGCATCAATCTCTCAGGTAACTTAATTACAATATCATACAACATCAATCGCTCAGGTAACTTTATTACACTATCATAGAGCATCAATCTCTCAGGTAACTTAATTACAGTATCATACAGCATCAATAGCTCAGGTAACTTAATTACAATATAATACAGCATTTAATTACAATATCACACAGCATCAATTGCTCAGGTAACTTAATTACAATATACATCAAATCCCAGTTTGTGCTGGGAAAAGCATTTCAAACCTGGCTGTCCCGGGGGGGATGTGAGTGTAGCTGACTAGCCCAGCTGTCCCAGGGCGATACGAGCAAAGCTGACAACTTTGATTTTTTCTGTTTTTAGTACAGTACACCTGTTCCTAAGAAAGAGTCCATACAAGTTCATACTGCTGTAAAAGAGGCCACACCTGTAAAACTTGGGTACCGACCACATTCCACCTCTATTGAAAATATAAACTCAAATGTTGTTATAAGGTAGGTATATATGTAGGTATATATTTGATCATATTGACCAGTCATATAAACAGACCAGTTGGAAAACCTACCTGTGTCGGTCCGTCTATACGACGTAGAATTAGAATTATAGCTGAACTACTTGGAGAAAGAGTTTTATTAGAATTATAGCTCAACTACTGGGAAAAAGGGGTTTTAGAATTATAGCTCAACTACTGCGGAAAGGGTTTTATTAGAATTGTAGAGGAGCTACTGGGAAAAGGGGTTTTAGAATTGTAACTGAACTACTGGGAAAAAGGGTATTAGAATTTTAGCTGAACTACTTTGAGAAAGGGGTTTCTTTAGGACATAAACATCCAAAATTCACACCAAGTGAATATAAAAAAAAACACTGATGGTCATGCTATCATTTCCCTCGTAGCTATTACTTAGGGTGTCAATAGTGTCATGGTGGCTCAGTCACTTGAGGTACTGGCTTCCAGTAGGTACTGGGGTTGATTGAGAAAGTTGATTGAGAAAGTTCTTCAGTATTTTACAACACTATAATCATTCAGATCAATCTGATTAAAACACAGATCCTATTTCATTTCAATTTTTATAGTTCAAAATTTCATTTTACTTGTCTTTACTACACTAGGATCTGGGGGAGTTTTTATGTAGCTCTCATTCTGGTTGGTATGATTAATAAACCATTGAAACGGTCTGTTCTGGCGTGTGGTGCACAGAACTGTGGGTATCACACTAGAAACATCAACACTGATTGGTTAATCAAATGCCTGACATCATAGGGTCAAAAGCCGTTCGTAATACCCCTGATGCAACCTTCCGTGTATACATTGGCGTGCACGTAAAAGATCTCTTGGCAGTTGGAATTCGATATAAGAGTAGGCGATAGTGCCGCTGTCCAAGCAAAATTTCCCCCATAGCACACTGTATGATGTATGCCCGTAGCCCAGTTTGGAGCAGAACAGTAGGACGTTGAACCCCATTTCATTTGATTTAAAATTTGTTTACAGTAGATCTCAATACAAGCCACAAGCTAATTCGGAATTATCAGGTGCATTACGAGATGTGAAGGAATATATCGTAGAATCAGAAGATTATCTAGATGATTTAGGAGAATTAATTGAGGTAAACAAATTTTATATAACCGCAGATTTTTACACAGGTTTCTCACTAACTATGTTTAATTTAAAGATTATTTGAATCCAGTATTTGATTGAAATTTTTTGTTTTCTAAATAATAAAAATAATAATAAAAACTTTATTCAACGAGGGAACTTATTTAGTTTGTAAAAAAAACCCTAATCTTCTATAAGTTCCTCCTAAGCTACAAAGACATATATGCATGTAATATCAGGATAAATTCAATATCATTTGAAATGCAATAGCATTTTAAAGTGGGAAGTTTGGGAAGTCACTCCTAAACTACAAAACATATACATTGTGCAAGTAAAATATAGGAAGACACTATAATTACACACAAAATAAGATAGAATACTATGCTCCTGGGATTGGGGCGGTGTGACACATGCTCTTTAGCCACTCAGAGAAAATCCACGAGGTTGGTCATTGACATTTATTGGGGTGGTGTGACACATGCCCTTTAGTCACTTGACACGGAGGAAACCCATGAGGTTAGACAGGCGACTTTACAAGATGTTTCTTACAAGCTTGGGATAAAAACCATGCCACTTTACTCAATGACAGGCCTAAAAAAGCACATTTGACTCAATGACAGATATTATGATATAAAACGCACTTGTTACGCCACTTGACACCCCTCCTTCCCTAAAATAATTGTACCTATCCAGGCCTGATCGTTTGAACATTCCTAAAAAACACTAAATCTACTACTAGAGGAGTTATATACTCTGTTTGATTCTGATAAACACTAAATCTAGGAGAGTTATATACCCGGGTTTGATTCTGATAAACACTAAATCTACCACTAGGGGCCCTGTTTGATTCTGATAAACACTAAATCTACTACTAGGGGCCCTGTTTGATTCTGATAAACACTAAATCTACTACTACGGACCCTGTTTGATTCTGATAAACACTAAATCTACTACTAGGGGCCATGTTTGATTCTGATAAACACTAAATCTACTACTAGGAGAGTTATATACTCTGTTTGATTCTGATAAAGCTTGTTCTTCTCGGAATACCAAACACATTTTGTTTGTTTTAACTTTCAGGGATTACCGAAGTCAGGGACGTATTTGACGAGTCTAGACAAGGTAATAGATTTTATTTACTTTATATTAAATATATGAATATCTGGGTCATTTTTTTTCATTGTTGGGATGTTATCTTTCCTCTTGATTGTTTAAAAGACAGAAAATACATAATTATTAATTCTGTGGAAACTTGAGGTTAAATAATTATTGCTTTTCTAACAATCTTCACGATATTGTATTTTTTACTAAACATGCTTCTGGGGAATAGATGAATTGATTTTGATCTCTTACCCCTAGTAAAGCAACATCCTCAATATTCCCAGTGGTATCGTTCTGTTTTACTCCACTAACTCCTTGGTTCATTCACGGGGTAATCAAGGAACGATATCAATGGGAATACCGAGGAAGGTAAACCATATAAATTTGAAGTAAAGTTTGAACATTTATTCACAATTTCTAAGACTAATGCTTTGGGAATTGTATAAATCTTTTATAAATATTTTCTCGCTTATATGATTCTTCTTATCAATGTACTTATTATTATTGTGATGGTTCTAACAAATAGATTTTAATTTAAAAATGCATTTAATCAGAAAACATTCTTGGTTATCAATTCAATTCAATCCCTGTTGTCAACCACCATATCCCCACATCAATCATATGGTACTGTATACCTATAGCGAATATTTGGTACAGGTAATGGTACTATACACCTATCTTGTACATTTGGTACAGGTAATATATGGTACTGTACAACTATCGCAAATATTTGGTTCAGGTAATATATTTCGAGTAATGGTATATTGTCAAAATAAAACAACTGACCTTCTTGAAAACCACTAAAAATTAAGTTAATCCTCTATCTAAAACATTTTTATTCAAAGATGTCTGGAGGTGGTCAGTAGAAAATGATAGGGTCTATGGAATAAAGCTGTCTGCCCCCCCACCCCCTCAGTGAAGTCAGGGGACAAACATGACGTCTAACAACAGTTTATTTATAGCTTGAGGTATGGCCCTGCGAATACAAAGTTTTGAGAAGGATTTGAAGCATTAGTTTAGATAAGTTTTTAGTCCCAATATATCCTCAAATGACCGAGTTTGTATGGGGGAAGGTATCTTTAGATAATGCATGATTAAATTAAATTGTATTTGTTAAGAACCATCAATTTAATTTCACTGGTACTAGTATATATATATCTAGTACTATACACAGCCATTGTAGTTTTCACACTAAATATATATATTTACTAGATCCTATATTAGATATGACTAATAAAAAAATTTGAGTTTTTTTTTACCACCAAATGTATATTTGCTAGATGACTAATGAAAAAATTTGAGTTTTAAATACCAAATATGCCGTCAGGTAAAACTATTGTTTCCGGGCCTTAACAACGTAGATTATTGGTAACAGGATCATTGATCGAAGTTTGTAAGTTTCTAATCGTGAAAACTTGACCTCTTACAACTTCTCATTGGCCAATGTAACGCCTGGAAAAGAAATGAGAATAACTTGATCTTGTTGCCTAGCAATTGACTCGACACATTAATAGCTGGGTTGATGTATTTATTTGGTTTAATATATTTTCAGAATTTATTGTTATTAAAAGCCACGTCGTCTGCAACTATGCAATGTTTACATCAGTGTCTTCATATACTCCACACAAAACAGGTACGCATACGCATGATCAAAATATCCCTTTAACTCGAGAATATTTGTACAATCTGTTGTTAATGATACATGGATGCAGAAACAGAACTATCGCTATTTCCGGCTCACTAGATTACCAGGAATCCAGGGTTCTTTGCTTGTGTTGGCCTAGAAAGTTCTCTAGGATTTTTCCTGTATCAGTGGTGCAGAAATGAGGGCCTGGCAAGGACAGCTGTCAAGAGTTCACGAGAACACTTGACATTGTATGTCAGTGACGAAAAGTTGGACGTTAAACTCCATTTCATTTCAAAATATTTATCAGAATATTTGGAGTGGTGTGGGTTCTAAAACTGAAATGAAATGGAGTGTAACTCTTCTGTCCCATTTGTTCTAATGTAGACATGCAAACACCATGTGGTGTGCTATAAGGGGATTTTTTGCCTGGACAGTAGCGATATGGCCTATTCTTATATCGAATTTTTTTTGTCAAGTGCACACCTAATACATGGTTGAGTAAAGCTAAGAAATAATATTTAATTACTGGTAAATACGTTATTAAATATAGACCAGATGTGACATCAAACATCTACCTCGTAATTTTGTCATGATATTTCACAAAAGCAATGCAAAATAAAACATAGAACTGTGTGGAAGATAATTTCATGGACTACATGTATAATTACTGAATTTGAAAGCGTTTAATCAATGCTTCTCTCGTCACCATTAAGCACAATGTTGCTGCTGTTAAAGTCAGTAATTAAAGTCCCTGAAATATTGTGTTTTATTTATTGTGCCTAATTACTAAATGCCACTTCAACAGATAAATATGGTTTAAATTTTGGTTGTTTCTTTGCTTAAATTATTTTGATGTGGGTCAGAACATTTTAGGTTTATATCCTTTCTATATTGAGGGGGGTTGGATGGCCGATTGGTTAGCACTTGCCCACTGTATCATACAGTCTGTCATTGAGTCAACTGGTGTGGTTTTGATTCCCAGGTTGTACATGACAAAGAGTAAGGTCGCCTGTCCCACCTCGTTGGTTTTCTCTTGGTCCTCCTGTTTCCTACCACTGCTAAAGACCACTACGCACAAGCAAATTATTGAAAAAAGATTCGACCATGTGTTAGTCCCGAAATGACCTAGTTTGTGTTGAGTGGATATTAAACCCCATTTCTCTCTCCCTATTGAATATCCTGTGAAGGCTACCCATTATTTAACTATAACTCATCTGAATTATTACAAGTGGACATTTATTGTAATACATTGTACATGTGTATATGAAAATTTTATTGTAATACATTGTACATGTGTATATGAAAATTTTATGTGTATATGAAAATTTTATTGTAATACATTGTACATGTGTATATGAAAATTTTATTGTAATACATTGTACATGTGTATATGAAAATTTTATTGTAATACATTGTACATGTGTATATGAAAATTTTATAAAATGAAAAATTTCCATTATCCTTTAGTGGCATTTAGCGATCAGAATCATAACAAAACGAACACATGAGACAATACTCTCCAGTTTATTGTACACAATGTTTCCAATAAAAATAAAATGGAATGGAAATTCTCTGTAGGACTTTTTACCATATAGATAAATATTTCTGAGAAATAATGACGTCATATGACATGGTGTATTTAGTAACTAGCTTATTATTTATAACTCATATTAGTGATGGTCTTGCTTGTATATAAATAATCTATTTCAATAGTCCCAGACATATTGGTTAATGTCTTGTTTGTAAATAAATAATCTATTTCAATAATCCCACATGTATAAAGGTTTTCATACCTATTTTATTTATTGTATCAAACATAGAAATTATTTTATGTTTAAAACAATTGGATTTTTTGGACTTTTGAAATAGATTACTGGTATGTACATGCTACCAGGAGAAGGAAAGTAATTAAAGCTTGCAGTGGGTCATTTAATGCTTTACTAATTATTATTTATTTAGAAAAATGGGGAACGGTAACGTTTACAGGGTTCCCGTGGTCCTTAAATTTAAAATTTCATTTTCAAGGTCTTGAATATCCTTGAATTTCGCGGAAATAGGAAAATATCCTTGAATTTCAGTTGAGATCCTTAATTTTGTTTCAAATGTCTTCAATTCCTTTTAAATATGAGATTATAACGATAGTTGGTAATGTTTTGGTTATTTTTAAGATGAAAAATTGTAACTTTAGGCTAAAAAATGTCCTTGAAAATCCTTGAATTTGACGTATATTTATCCTTGAAAAAATGTTTTACGAAGCCGCAGGAACCCTGGTTTAGTTGATGTAATATCATGTGCCGCACATGAGCAATGTTTTATTTTGTCTCAGTGCAAGCCTGGACATATATCTAGAGATATATTCAAGCCTGGACATAGGCACATGTCATAGACTTTAGTCAGAAACAAATTATCACACAATGTTGACATTATGAAATATCGATTCTGTGAAAAATAAGACTTGTCTGCGATATCACCTTCGGTGGAAGCGGACAACAACAACAAACACGCTGTCCCACCCATACATACAGGTGCCTTATATCCAGGCTTGCATTGACTCTATCCTACAGAAAAAGTTTAGACTCTAAAACATATTTAGTAACATGAACAGTGTTTGTTCAGGTGAACCTTCATGATGTCCTCTAATCTGATGATTACCCTTAAACTGGTATCGCAGCCATTGATTTCTTGTTTAACATTAATTTTTTTACATCTTAGGCAATGATGAATCATCATCCGTTACCTCTAACAGCACCAAGTAAACCCAGATCATAGTAAGTACAGAACTTGTTGCTCTACTTGGTTCAGGGTATTATTTTATTTAATCCATGCTGCCATAAATATTTCTCATGTTTTAATGTCTGTATCACTGCTCCCCAAGTCATTTTAAGTTTTATTTTAGGCACACTCTCAAGTTATAATTGAGAGTTGTGGTGGCTCTGGTTTGTTTGGCATGGTATTAGGGGGTGTTGGATGGCCAAATGGTTAGCACGTGTGCGCTGTATCATAAAGTCTGTCATTGAGTCAACTGGTTTCAATTCTCCGATTGTATGTGACAAAGAGTAGGGTCGCCTGTCCAACCTCATGGGTTTTCTCCGGGTCCTCCCGTTTCCTCCCACTGCTAAAGACTTGTACGCGCAAGCGAATTATTGAAATAAAATTGAACCATGTGTTGGTCCCGAAATGACCTTGTTTGTGTCGAGTAGACGTTAAACCCCATTTCTCACTCTCGTCTTTATTAGCTCAGACAGTGCAAAAAGTAGAACATTAAACCCCATTTTATTTTAAGTTATTATATTGTATTTTGTAGTTCTGGTCTACGAAGAACCAGCAGTCAACATAGTGCTCCCTCTACAGCTGAGAGTTATTGTTCCACCACTTCCGCACAAATCACGTCAAATTCTCCGCATTTATTAACAGATCAGAAATTAAATGGTATGTAAAATCTTCTGATAATCTACAGTTAATCATTAAATGGTACAATTAAACACTACAGGTATCAAGTAGTTGTGGGGGGGGGGGCAAATGGTTAGTGCGTGTGCGTTGTATCACAAGGTCTGTCATGAAGTCAAATGACGTGGTTGCGATTCTCCGGTTGTATGTGACAATAATAGGGTTGCCTGTCCAACATTGTGGTTTTTCTCTGGATCCTACCGTTTCCACCCACTGCTAAAGACCTCTACGTGCAAGTAAAATATAGAAGTAAAATTGAACCATATGTTAGTCACGAAATGACCTAGTTTCTCTCTCTCTCTCTCATGTAGATGTGCTGTCTTATGTGGAGTTTCTGTAATTAAACATACATTATACAAGAGCTAAATCTGCCAATTGCAGGTCTGTCTTTAGCCTGAAATGTTCTCTAAATGGATAATCAAGACTATGTTTTTAAGTAATGATGATCGAGGCTAGGCCGAAAATTCAATCACTAAATTCTCAGTTCAGAGTGGATCAATTTGTCTGAAATTTTCAGCTAATTGCCTTTACATTATCTAGTTTTTAACTATTATAGTGAGCAGGGCTGTCGGTAATTTTTCACAGATGATTAGCAGCACTGCTAATCAAAAAGTCCAATTTTGCCAAATTTGATTAGCAAATTTAAAAATTGATTAGCAGTTTTTCAGTTTCAAATCAACATAAAACACCTAAATAACAAGATTATTTTAATTTTAATTGATAGCAAATGATTAGATTTCATTCTTAAGATTTTTTTAGAATTTTAGCACTTCTACAGCTAGCTGTGAACATTTCTGAATGAATGTAGACTTTTGTTAGGCCTTATGTCTGAAGCCAATTCTTGGCAGTGGCTTCTTATTTCTTCGTTAGAAAACAATTTCGTCTGCTTTTTATCGTGTGTTATTATTTTTGTTCAATCGGAAGCACGCAGTATTTTACGAATAATCTCGATTAACTAGACGCACGCGATATAAACAATAATAGTTTACGGGAATTCTTACTTTGATTTCTCACTTTACAATACGTTTACACGTATTTATTTTTTATATTTTATTTACAGTACGTGGGGGACACACTGAATTTATTTTTTTTCAAATTGAATACTGATATAATTACTCGAAATTGACATGTCTCGCAACGTGAGTGGTACTACTTGATTCCCTATTTCCGGTTTAATAGTCCCGATTCATAGAGTTATGTCCCTGTATTATATAGTATCATGAATTGAGTCTGGGTAGTTCGAGAAGAAAATGTCACACGGAGAATTCCGTTTTGTTTATAAAATTTATTTGATATTTTATACACGTTGAAAGTGTTGAGAAATGTGGATAAATCTTTGTGTCAATATCCAAAATGACAGGCATATTAATGATTCGCAGTTACTGCGAATCAAAAACGTTAGATTTTAATTTTTGATTAGCAACGGACAAAATATGTATCGCAAATTGCGCTGCGATACTGGTTGTCGGCAGCCCTGATAGTGAGAACTGTCAGCTCTTTATCTAATCTTTAATGTTTAGTTTCAAGCTAGTGAAATAAACGGTTGTAAACCCAACACTCACTATCTAATCTAGACGGACCATTTTAAACTATGTGACAACAGTTGGAACACAATATGTTTAGATGTTTATTAACGAACTTGAACAATTTGCCAACAATGCTTCGAAAAGAAATATTAAATAAAGAACTACGTCATTACGATATCCAAGTTGTAGTGAAGTTGTGGTGCCTGTCATTTTGTACGGCACTGATTTGTCTTTTCTATTGATATTAATAATACATGGCCGACACTAAGTTGAAAATCTCAGGCACTAATTCATTAGTGCCTGACATTTTGTCATGTACATCTAAAACCGTTATTTCCACGCCTGTATGTAAAGTCTGTTTCAAACTAGTTTACATGTTCTGTAAGTGATATATATGTATAGTCTATTTCAAGTTAATGTACATGTTATGTATTTCTACAGGTGATATGTGTAAAGATATAATAAATCATGAAGAAGAAGTGTTAGATGAAACAGAGTATAAAGATTCTGATCTCGATGGTGTGGAAGAACATAAATCTATTATACTTCATCTTTTATCGCAACTTAAATTAGGAATGGATCTCACCAAGGTAGGTCTTGTATCCAATCGGATTAAAACACAGATCCTATTTCCTTTTACTTGTCTTTACTACACAACGATCTGGAAGAGTTGTTATATTATCAACGTTCTGGTTGAAGTGAGGGATTAACCAATGAAACGGTCTGTTACGGTGATTTCTTGGCATGCGACGCACAGAACTATGGGGAAATGCTGATTGATTAATCAATGTCTGCCATCAAAAGCTGCTCGTACGACCCCTGACGCATCCTTCCAGTACAACCAGTCAGATCTTATGTAGTGTAGGCCATAGAAAGTATAAAAAAACGAAACAAAATATAGATCTGTGTTTTAATCAGGCTGGCCTTTTATCCTTTTATCTTTTAGCCATACACAATGGCTTTGAGGAAAAATTTGCAATCCAAAACTCAGAGTCTGCAAATCTTAAGAAAATTTTGACCGAACAGCATCACTACAGCCTACTTTGATATCTAAATTCCAACTTTCAAGGGTTAATTTATGCGCAAGCCCATACACACACACATAGGGACTTGTTTTTGTCGGAGGTTGGATGGCCAAATGGTTAGCACATGCGCGCTGTATCATAAAGCCTGTCATTGAGTCAACTGGCGTGGTTTCGAATCCCCGGTTGTACGTGACAAGGAGTAGGGTCGTCTGTCCAACCTCGTGGGTTTTCTCCGGGTCCTCCGGTTTCCTCCCGCTGCTAAAGACCCCCATCGCGCAAGCTAATTATTAAAATAAAATTGAACCATATGTTAGTCCCGAAATGACCTAGTTTGTGTCGAGTGGACTTTAAACCCCATTTCTCTCTCTCTCTCTTGTTTTTGTCCAATCTGAACGACTATCATTTTGCGGCACCACTGACAATGGGGAACCACTCCGTAAAATCCGGGTGAACTTTCTCGGTCAACACAGGGATCAAAAACGGAATGTTTTACTCAATGAGCCACCGTGAGTTGCTTGTGCTGAGTTTTAAATGAATGATGTTCTTATCTTCAGGTAGTTTTACCAACTTTTATATTAGAACGACGATCATTGTTAGAAATGTTTGCCGATTGTATGGCACATCCAGATTTATTTCTAAAGTAAGTAGAATATTTGTTCATCTTGAATGACATGTGTATCTATGTTGGTTGTCTAGTCAGTTTAGATTATCTATCCATAATAATACCTTTAATTATTGACTTAATATTTAAAAACTTAACGTTTAATTTCTCTGTTTATATGACCGATGAAGTAAGTGTCAAAACAATTTTAAATTAATTTCTTTGGAGTTTGAATGTACGATGGTATTAGTGATCGCATTAAATGTGAACAATGATAGCAAAATAAATTGGAAGTTGCAAGTCTTTTACGGTATGGACAAAACCGTGACATTCTTGTTCATACACCGTAAACAATGTTAATCAAGTTAAACACAATTACGTTTTGTGTAAAAATCTATTCATGAGGTTTACAAAGGGCCAAAACAAAACAGGACCTTATATTAACTTTTTTTTTACAGTTCCCCCAAAGTAAAATATTGAAAAAGTGTTTTATTTATTTTAAAGAATACCTGAGAAATCTGATGCTGAAGAGAGAATGTTAACAATATTAGAATGGTATTTAACATCGTTTCACGCAGGTAGACAGGTACGTTGATATTATACACAGACAGACAGGTATGTTAATATTATACCCAGGTAGACAGGTAAGTCTGTCATTGAGTCAACTGGTGTGGTTTCAATTCCCCAGTTGTACGTGACAAGGAGTAGGGTCGTCTGTCCAACCGCATGGGTTTTCTCCGGGTCCTCCGGTTTCCTCCAACTGCTAAAGACCCGTACGCGCAAGCGAATTATTGAAATAAAATTAAACCATAGGTTAGTCCCGAAATGACCTAGTTTGTGTCGAGTGGACATTAATCCTCATTTCTTTCTCTCTCTCTGGTTTCGATGTTAATTTGATTTCGATGTTGATTTGGTTAGGATGTTGAAAGTTGTATTTGGGATGTCAATAATATGTTATTTGAATGAAACTCTCCATCTTTTATCAACAGGGTTCTGTTGCCAAGAAACCGTATAATCCAATAATAGGAGAAACGTTCCATTGTTCATGGGAAATACCTCACGAAACGGAATCCACGGCTAGCGATGACACTAATCATGTAAAAACAGATAGATTGATTTATTGTGCTGAACAGGTGTCACATCATCCACCAGGTACGTAACCCATATTGTCCTCACGTCAGAACATGGGAGGAGCTATTCCTAATAAAACACAGCTGAAGTCAAAGCTTGGGAGGAGCTACATATGACCACTGAAGTCAAAACATGGGAGGAGCTATCATTAATGATTGACGGCCATACATATGACATGACAGCTGAAGTCAAAGCATGGGAGGAGCTATCATTAATGATTGACATACATATGACATGACAGCTGAAGTCAAAGCATGGGAGGAGCTATCATTAATGATTGACATACATATGACATGACAGCTGAAGTCAAAACACGGGAGGAGCTATCATTAATGATTGACATACATATGACATGACAGCTGAAGTCAAAGCATGAGAGGAGCTATCATTAATGATTGACATACATATGACATGTCAGCTGAAGTCAAAGCATGGGAGGAGCTATCATTAATGATTGACATACATATGACATGTCAGCTGAAGTCAAAGCATGGGAGGAGCTATCAAATCAGGTTTAACGTCCTACTTTTTTGTCCCAACTGGTTTAATTAAAGCCTAGCTCACAACCTGCTGAACAATCTACTACGGGGGAAATTTTAGTCAACTTGCGTGTATTCTGTGCTGTAAAAAATCGCAGACATCCCGTGGAGACTTGTGACAAGTACTGTGTCTGTACAATTTACAAAACTTTCACCTGGTATCGTGTTGGTCCCATGCTGCAGGACTGACCAGGGGAAACTACGCTTCCAAATAATGAGAAGCATTCTTGAGCAACACCAGGATGAATCTCTGGATCTCCAAGGTTTTGACCAGATCTGGATTATCAATAATAGAAAGTTAATTTCGATTTTAACAATCAGCGGATTATTGTTGTTATACCAATGTTGTTTTTGTCTTGTATCCCATGACAACAACAGAGGAGGGGGATCTATCCTAGAAAAATCCCAGGAATATTTTTCAATCAACATGAGAACCTTCTGGTTAATGTACCAGCACAATAATCACTGAGCCACCAGGAGAACCTTCTGGTTAATGTACCAGCACGATAATCACTGAGCCACCAGGAGAAACATCTGGTTAGTGTACCAGCACGATAATCACTGAGCCACCAGGAGAAACATCTGGTTAATGTACCAGCACGATAATCACTGAGCCACCAGGAGAAACATCTGGTTAATGTACCAGCACAATAATCACTGAGCCACCAGGAGAACCTTCTGGTTAATGTACCAGCACGATAATCACTGAGCCACCAGGAGAAACATCTGGTTAATGTACCAGCACAATAATCACTGAGCCACCAGGAGAACCTTCTGGTTAATGTACCAGCACGATAATCACTGAGCCACCTGGAGAACCTTCTGGTTAATGTACCAGCACGATAATCACTGAGCCACCAGGAGAAACATCCGGTTAATGTACCAGCACGATAATCACTGAGCCACCAGGAGAAACATCTGGTTAATGTACCAGCACGATAATCACTGAGCCACCAGGAGAAACATCTGGTTAATGTACCAGCACAATAATCACTGAGCCACCAGGAGAACCTTCTGGTTGATGTACCAGCACGATAATCACTGAGCCAACATGAACATGTTTCCTTATCATTAATGATCTTTAAAAATTTAGTTTCAGCTTTTTATTTTGAATGTCCTAGTCGAAGAGTGTGTATGAATGCTTCTATCTGGACCAAATCTAAATTTATGGGAATGTCTATAGGGGTTGTTATGGTAGGAAAAGGTAAGTCATGTGAACACACAGATTTGCTTTTATTTCAATCTAATTAAAATACAGATCTTTTTTTCGTTTCGTTTTTTTATACTTTCGATGGCCTACACTACATGAAGATCTGACAAGTTATAGCGATAGGTCACATCAGGGGTCAAAAGACTGACTTTTGACCTTATGGCGCCAGACATTTGATTAACCAATCAGCATTGATGTTACTAGTGGATTACCCACAGTTCCGTGCAAAACACCTCCAAAGCTCGCTGTGACAGACCGTTTCATTGGCTTATCCTTGACACCATTCAGAACAAGAGTTAAATAACAAGTCTTCCAGATCCAAGTGTAGTGAAGACAAGTAAAAACGAAATTTTGAACTATAAAAATGAAACGAAATAGGATCTGTGTTTTAACCAGATTGCTTTTATTTACGATGTCCTGCGATATCAGGAACGGCTCCTTTAAATTCTCTGTGTGTCTCTTTACAGTTTTAAATAATATCAACTCTACTCAAATTATTCATGGCTTAATCAAGTTGATTTTTTAATATTTAATTAAGACAACAGAATAAATCTGACCTAAAATAGAAATCTTTTAGAATCTGTTAATATTTAATTAAGACAACAGAATAAATCGGACCTAAAATAGAAATCTTTTAGAATCTGTTTGCTTGAAAAATGGTATTGAATGGGTATAATAGTCCTCTAAATTTTCTGGCAAGACTCACTGTGAATGAATATTTTCTGGGAACTAGAATATCTTTGCATTAATCGTATTATTGTTATTTACAGTAACATTACATCTATTAGATTATATATGTTTAGTCTACACAGTGCCTACACCCGATCTATATTAACCACCTGGTCTAATTTAACTGTAACATTATTGTTGTTATTTTCAGTAACGTTTACCCAGTGCCTACGCCTGATCTATATTAACCGTAACATTATTATTGTTATTTACAGTAACGTTACATCTGTTAGATTATGGTGAAGTTTATACGTTTAGTTTACCCAGTGCCTACGCCCGATCTATATTAACGGTACCCTGGGTTGAAATGGGTGATAAAATAACTATATCCTGTCCACAGACCAACTATTCATCAGCTGTTGTCTTTCATACCAAGGTAGGACCACAGCAGAATAAAATATGTTGGGAAAAGTGTGTAGTTGTTTAAATGGTGCAAACAGTGTTTGAGTGCTTGTAAAATAACCCTTGACAGTTGGAATTCAATCGTTAACCAGACAGAATTTCCCATCGTAGTACCCTCTAAGGTGTTAGTCTGTCTTCATCCACCTAGTCCCTACAATAATATACAGTACATTATCAAAGAACTAAATCTACATATTTCTACTGACTTCAAATGTTATGTAAATTATTAATTAGACATTTATTGACATGACAAGCCCATTATCATCTCTTTAGGGAATCGAATGGCTGAGATTTTTATATGGATTATAACGCCCTACCATTTACTAATTCAATGTTGAACTCTATAATCGTGACTTTGTATATTATTGTAGCAATGGTACTTGACAATCAAAGCTGTCTTTGTTGATCATAGGTCTAGACTAGAGTCATCTGTTCAACCATGTGTGTTTTCTCCTGACCTGTCATTGAGTCAAATGGTGTGGTTTTGATTCCCCGGTTGTACGTGACAAGGAGTAGTCCAACCTTGTGGGTTTTCTCTGGGTCCTCCGGTTTCCTCCCACTGCTAAAGACCCCTATGTGCAAGCGAATTATTGAAATAAAATTGAACCATATGTTAGTCCCAAAATGACCTAGTTTGTATTGAGTGGACATTATTTCTCTCTCTCTCTCAAATGACTGTTTATATTTTCAGCCGTTTTACGGTGGTAAATTACATCGAGTTACAGCAGAAGTACGTCAAGGTGAAACGGGAGATGTAGTTTGTAAAGTTCAAGGTGAATGGAACGCATCGTTAGATTTTAATTATGCAAATGTAAGTTAACTTGTTTCTTTATTGGTGTTTTATATCAGAAGATAAAACATTGACATAAAAGATGTCATGTGTACCACAAATAAAAATGGATTGAGGATAGTTAAAATAGAAATAAAATTATCAAATGGACTGTGAAAATTTATCTGTTTGTGGATATCTAACACAGAAGTCAGCCAACTCGTTATACAGAACTTTATCAGTCTCAGAGTATTGACAATGTCAAACATTTAAAGCAATGTGATTATTATCTGCTACTAGAAATGTTGAATGGTTATCTCCCCTTTGCATGTCCCCAGTCAAACACTGCAACCTTATCTTCTAAGGTTAGCAATAAATTTCTTAAAAGCTGGTTCTGTTATTTCATGACATTATCCTTTCTGTGAATCAAAATACAACTGTATTTTTAGCCATATTGGGGCCATTAAGGGGAGGCACTGCTCGAGAATATGGATATAGAATAACTCATTTCTAAGCACGGCATCTAAGGACCCAATAACAACACTATATAAATACATGCACTGTGACATGTCCTAGGAACATTTGGAAAGAAGTTCCAAGCTTCTATCTTGGATACTTTCAGAGAGCGATTTCCATGGTAACCAATAAAGCAGATTGCCCTAAAACTGATGCTTGGCAATTATTCTGACAAATTGAACAATTCCTGAAAATTTCATGGCGATAGCACTGTTTGAAATGAGTTATTTTTAGATGCATATTGTTGAACAGTGGTTCCACTTAAAAATAGCTTACAAATTGTATGACGAAATCGCAAGCCTTTAGATAATTTCGTTGCTGCTCAGATAAAAAAAAAATGTTAAAATGATATATTTATATTATATTATTCAGGGTGAGACAAAGTCGATAGATGTACAGAAATTAAAAGTGTGGCGTAAACGTGTTCGACCAATCGAATTACAGTGTGAGAATGAATCACGAAGGTTATGGCAGCATGTGACGAAATCTTTAAGTATGGGTGACGTAGAGACAGCTACGGAACATAAACGATGTGTAAGTATATTTAATATAGCTAAAAATTATACACCACCTAGATTTTAGAAAATTACAGTTCTACAAGTAACTCAGGTTATAGCCGATTTCCACTAGATTAAGGACTGTTTCACATTTCGTCAGTGGTGAGGCAAAAAATGTCGTATCTGGCTTTTGCGAAATTGTCCAGGAGAGCTGTTAACTGTGATCAAAGTCATACTAATTAAACTTATCCTAGAGCAAAAACAGCAATATTCATCAGGGCTAATTCATGACGACAAATTATTCTGGTTCTTGGACATTCTTTTGCCAGAGGGAGGTGTCGATTGTTGTGTTGTTATTTAGTCAAGTGATAACTACTGCCGATTATGGTGGTGTTTATAGTAATGTATGATTAACCAGTACCATTTATCTCATCATCATAGTGTTTATAGCAATATATGATTATCCAGTATCATTTATGTCAACATGTGGTTGTCAATGACATTTATCAGGGTTGCATACTTTATGACAAGTCTACAGTACACATTTCTGGATTCATTCATAATTTTTTAATAGAGTTATTCCTGTAACCATGGTAAAATAGAGATACTTCTTGTAACCATGGGGGTTGGATGGCCGATTGGTTAGCACCAATTGAGTCAACTGGTGTGGTTTCGTGACAAGGAGTGGGGTCGCCTGTCCAAACTCATGGGTTTTCTCAAGGTCCTCCAGTTTCCTCCCACTGCTAAAGACCCCTACGCGCAAGGGATTTATTGAAATAAAATTAATACCATATGTTAGTCCCAAGTTAAACAATGAGAAGGTTATATTGTTAATATAATATTATATTATTATAGCTAGAAGATAGAGGTTATATTGTTAATGTAATATTATATTATTATAGCTAGAAGATAGAGGTTATATTGTTAATATAATACTATATTATTATAGCTAGAAGATAGAGAAGGTTATATTGTTAATGTAATATTATATTATTATAGCTAGAAGATAGAGGAGGTTATATTGTTAATGTAATATTATATTATTATAGCTAGAAGATAGAGAAGGTTATATTGTTAATGTAATATTATATTATTATAGCTAGAAGATAGAGAAGGTTATATTGTTAATGTAATATTATATTATTATAGCTAGAAGATAGAGGAGGTTATATTGTTAATGTAATATTATATTATTATAGCTAGAAGATAGAGGAGGTTATATTGTTAATATAATATTATATTATTATAGCTAGAAGATAGAGGAGGTTATATTGTTAATGTAATATTATATTAGTATAGCTAGAAGATAGAGAAGGTTATATTGTTAATATAATATTATATTATTATAGCTAGAAGATAGAGGAGGTTATATTGTTAATGTAATATTATTATAGCTAGAAGATAGAGAAGGTTATATTGTTAATGTAATATTATATTATTATAGCTAGAAGATAGAGAAGGTTATATTGTTAATGTAATATTATATTATTATAGCTAGAAGATAGAGGTTATATTGTTAATATAATATTATATTATTATAGCTAGAAGATAGAGGTTATATTGTTAATATAATATTATATTATTATAGCTAGAAGATAGAGAAGGTTATATTGTTAATGTAATATTATATTATTATAGCTAGAAGATAGAGGTTATATTGTTAATATAATATTATATTATTATAGCTAGAAGATAGAGGTTATATTGTTAATATAATATTATATTATTATAGCTAGAAGATAGAGAAGGTTATATTGTTAATGTAATATTATATTATTATAGCTAGAAGATAGAGGTTATATTGTTAATGTAATATTATATTATTATAGCTAGAAGATAGAGAAGGTTATATTGTTAATGTAATATTATATTATTATAGCTAGAAGATAGAGAAGGTTATATTGTTAATGTAATATTATATTATTATAGCTAGAAGATAGAGGAGGTTATATTGTTAATGTAATATTATATTATTATAGCTAGAAGATAGAGGAGGTTATATTGTTAATATAATATTATATTATTATAGCTAGAAGATAGAGGAGGTTATATTGTTAATGTAATATTATATTAGTATAGCTAGAAGATAGAGAAGGTTATATTGTTAATATAATATTATATTATTATAGCTAGAAGATAGAGGAGGTTATATTGTTAATGTAATATTATTATAGCTAGAAGATAGAGAAGGTTATATTGTTAATGTAATATTATATTATTATAGCTAGAAGATAGAGAAGGTTATATTGTTAATGTAATATTATATTATTATAGCTAGAAGATAGAGGTTATATTGTTAATATAATATTATATTATTATAGCTAGAAGATAGAGGTTATATTGTTAATATAATATTATATTATTATAGCTAGAAGATAGAGAAGGTTATATTGTTAATGTAATATTATATTATTATAGCTAGAAGATAGAGGTTATATTGTTAATATAATATTATATTATTATAGCTAGAAGATAGAGGTTATATTGTTAATATAATATTATATTATTATAGCTAGAAGATAAACAACGAGAAGGTGAACGACATAGAAAAGAAACAAACTCATCTTTTCCTACTAAAGTAAGTGAAACATGAAATTTATTTTCTACAATTTAGATTTTTATATACTCTAGCATGTTAGACTCAACATGATTGAAGTACAGAGTTGATGAAATTTAAAGAAATTAATGGCTGGCCCCCGGATCCAGTCACATGATTTAATATTTACTGTTTATTTCTTGCTATGTCTATATAGTTTGTCATGTCCGCAGGTTTGTCTTATAGTTTGTGTTTTACGTGTAGTGCGGTCCTCCTGTACATTCTATTAAATATGAACAGACATCTAATAGAATATATCGATTGAACCTGCATCATAAAAAGATTCAAAAATCCATCATAAGATGTGACCACTAAACTACTACGATATATGAATAGAATTGAATATTTTAATAGTAAAATCAGAATAGGATCTAAGCACTTAGTTATGATATTATGCTTTATTTTTAGAACAATATTTTTTGTTTTTAGTTTTTCAGAAAGATTGATGATACCTGGGTGTACAAGAATCCATTGACATCACAAATAAAATCACCTGCTTCATGATTGAACATCGATAGCTAGAAATCAACATTGTATAAAATACAAATAACACACACAACTATCACTATAATCATCGTCATACTATATGTAGGGGGTTACGTGGTTACGATTCCCACACTTGTACGTGACAAGGAGTTTTGAAATACAATTAAGCTGTGTTTTAGTCCTGAAGTGTGTCGAGCGGACGTTAAACCCCCATTTCTTTCTCGCTCTCTTCATACTAGTAACAAGCATACATCACACACAGATTTACAAGGGAGTGACACAGATTTACAAGGGAGTGACACGCAATAGCGAGGGAGTGAAAAAGAAGAGCAAACAAGTGATACAGAATTGAGTCCGGTTAGTCCTGAAACAGACATGTGATGATTTGTAGAGACACTGTCAATATCAATGGTGCTCATATTTAACAGAATTGCTATCAAGAGTCATGGAAATGTATCTTTTATCTGTTGCCTGAAAATCTGATGTACAGTTACTCAGTCTGATTAAAACACAGATCCTATTTCGTTTCATTTTTATAGTTCAAAATTTAGTTTTACTTGTCTTTACTACACTAGGATCTGGAAGAGTTGTTATCATTGACGTGTTCTGGATGGTGTGAAGGATTAGCCAATGAAACGGTCTGTTACAGCGAGCTTTAGGCACAGAACTGTGGGTAATCCACTAGAAACATCAATGCTGATTGTTTAATCAAATGTCTGATGTCAAAGGGTCAAAAGCCGCTTGTATGACCTCTGACGTGACCTATCGCAACAACCGGTCAGATCTTCATGTTGTGTTGGCCCTTCGAAAGTATAAAAAAAACGAAACGAAATATCAATCTGTATTTAAATCAGATTGTTCAGTTACTCTAATTGTGGTAAAATATCAGGGTAAAATTGACCTGGGATACCAAGCATGAATGGAATAATGCTGCGACTGGGCTATTGAAGACAGAGAATGGAAATTAGCCTGTGTTAAACATACGTTATACAATCTTCCTATTGCAGGTCTTTCTTTAGGCCTTAAATGTTATCTAAATTATTAATTAGACATTTATTAGCAAAAAAAGACCATAATCAACTTTCGATGCCATGGGATACTCGAGATTTTAACTAGATTAGAAAGGTTTGTCATTTAAAAATTTAATTTAAAAATGGGAAAGCGAGGCTAAGACTCAAATATACCCATGCCCTGGTTACCACAATGCATACATCTTTTCAAAACTACAAACAGTGATAACTTGGCTCAGAATAGAGTAATATGAATAAAATGTTCAATACATTCATTTTACATTATCTATTTTTGAGTTTTATAGCAAGAATGGTCAGCTCTTTATTTAAATCTTACAGAATGTATCTTTAATTATTCCAGTTGGTGCAGAATCGTCAGACGTTAATATTATGTCTGCTTCCTATTCGCAATGATCAGATTGGAATCTGTCCCGATCACCAGGCTCAATCCAAGATACATTATGTCCGATTTAGATAAATAGCAGACAGTTCTCGCTATAATAGATTAAAAACAGGACATGGAAATGGAATACATTAAAAATTTCAGTGTGGCCTTTAAGTCTGAATTATCCATTTTATTGTTAGATTTATGAATCTTACAGGTATTCTAATCCATGTAATATCACATCCATCCGATGATCTAGAGAGTTTATTCATCCGATGGTCTAGAGAGTTTATCCATCCGATGGTCTAGAGAGTTCATCCATCCGATGGTCTAGAGAGTTCATCCATCCGATGGTCTAGAGAGTTCATCCATCCGATGGTCTAGAGAGTTCATCCATCCGATGGTCTAGAGAGTTCATCCATCCGATGGTCTAGAGAGTTCATCCATCCGATGGTCTAGAGAGTTCATCCATCCGATGGTCTAGAGAGTTGATTATAGGCTAATCATGTTCAATTTCATCCATCCGATGGTCTACAGGGTCGATTATAGGCTTATGTGAATAATTTCTATAAGATTTGAACCTAAAATAACCTAACATAAAGACCTGCAACAGGCCGATTTAGCTCTTACATAATGTACAAGGCAACTGTCTAGTCATTCAGATGGGTGAAATACCGAGATCCTGTGCACGTAAAAAAAAATGATCCCTTCGCAGCTGGAATTCGCTCTAAGAGTAGGCAGTAGCACCGCTGTTGCGCAAAATTTCCCTCATAGTACACTGTATCGCATATGCCCGTCTTCATTAGCCCAGTCGGAGCAGAACAGTAGGATGTTAAACCCCATTTCATTTCATTTTCTTACATAATGCATCTTTAGCTAATTTCAGGAAGTCTATCTCCCAGTAGGTTACGGTAAATTAGATTTGTTAACAAATATAATGATAACTATAGTATATCTCAAATAACGCAAGTTTTCTGGGTATCCTTTTCATTCTAATTTCGTTCTAATTTGTAAACAAACTGAGTTTTCAGTAGAAAAAAGTAGCATCTTGACCTTTGATGTTTGACCTCTTGACCTGCAATTTTTCTAAGTTTTGATCACAAGACCTGTGATGTTTTGATCACATGACCTGTGATGTTTTGATCACATGACCTGTGATGTTTTGATCACATGACCCGTGATGTTTTGAAGAGTGGTATGAATGGAACGGTTCTGTTAGTAAGATTGAGGCAGACAGTTGATTAGAATGTTTATATATAATATTTTGTGAATTTTTTTTTCATTTTGAAATTATTTCCATAGCAACTGTTTATATACAATTATCTAAGGTGCAATATTAATGTCATCTGAAACAGAACACAATTAAACAGTAGGATTTACTGTCCAGGATACATTAATCTACTGTATTTATATACTTGATACACAGGACTACTGTATTTATGTACTGGACATATAAGTCTACTGTATTTATATACTTGATACACAGGACTACTGTATTTATGTACTGGACATATAAGTCTACTGTATTTATATACTGGACATATAAGTCTACTGTATTTATGTACTGGACATATAAGTCTACTGTATTTATATACTTGATACACAGGACTACTGTATTTATGTACTGGACATATAAGTCTACTGTATTTATATACTGGACATATAAGTCTACTGTATTTATGTACTGGACATATAAGTCTACTGTATTTATATACTGGACATATAAGTCTACTGTATTTATGTACTGGACATATAAGTCTACTGTATTTATATACTTGATACACAGGACTACTGTATTTATGTACTGGACATATAAGTCTACTGTATTTATATACTGGACATATAAGTCTACTGTATTTATGTACTGGACATATAAGTCTACTGTATTTATATACTGGACATATAAGTCTACTGTATTTATGTACTGGACATATAGGTCTACTGTATTTATAAAACAATGTTATTTGTGTCAGTTTATTGTTTTACAGTATCTATATTTAGATCCAAATTATTATCCCTTTTATAATCTTCTTGTAAAGAATATATTTGTAATACATTTCACCTTATTCATATCAACCATTGATATTATTTATTTCTTTACATAGAAGTTTAATTATTATTATTATTATTATTACACAATTTGGCTACTCAAGTTTTAAACATAAAATTAGAAACTGTGATTCCATAGTTTGATGTACTGTATGTCACATATCATGATTTAAATGTATATTATACAGTATGGTGTACATATTTTTGATGTACTTGGTTTTCCTCACAATAACAAGATATATTGTTCCCAACCTTTAGCAGTTGTCTGGCAAGGAACAACGTATAGTGAGTGGTGCAAGGCCTGGCGAGGACATGAATTAGGACTGTAGTTGTATATACTATATATATATATACTGAGTGTAAATATATTATGCACGTCACATGATCTTACTATCATATCAACTGTGATAAACACTTTCATAACAAATATCAGTTTTTATTTCTCATTTGGGGATCACGTGGCTAAGTGGGTAAGACGCTGGCTCGCTTACATGGAGGTCGGGTGTTCGATCCCTGCATTGGCTGAGAAAGTTCGTTCATCCAGATTTTCCGGCGTGGTTTCCCCTAGTCAGTGATGCAGGACGGAGGGCCTGACAAGGACAGCTGTATAATCATTCGGATGGGATGAAAAACCGAGGTCCCGTGTACACATTGGCATGCCCGTCTTCATTAGCCCAGTTTAGGAGCAGAAAAGTAGGACGTTAAGCCCCATTTCATTTCATTTTCCTAAACAAATATATGTTTAAAGTAAGGGAATTTATAGATATACCACCGTATACATATCAACAAATTCTCCTCTGCTACTTCGGTCACTGTCGGCGATCTCGTCTGGGTGTCGAGAGTTTTTTCCCCAGTTTCTTTGGTAATGTATTTTTGGGGAAGCTGGTAGGGACAACGTTGTCTAACAGAAGCTTCGCAAATACAGTCGATGGTGTGACAAGCTCAACCAATTTCCGTACCTCAGGCTACAAAATAGTTTTCTCAGTTTTAATCTGTTGCACCTGTTTCTCTTATGTCCATAAAGGGCAATCTCTTGAGTAAGCAAATGCATGAAAAAAAACCTATGAACTTGTGCATTCGTTCATATATTTTACAGTACGGTCTGCCCATACATGTAAAGGGGTGATTCAACAATTTATATCAGACACCAGGGGCCAAACAAAATCCTTAACAATGGTTAATGCTATAATAGCCCTTTTTGTCAAAATTGTGGTGAAACTATAATTACACTGATATTTACAATCTTACCCGTCCTCATTATTATCTATTTATCTTATAAATTAATTAGTTCTAAGGTTAGGGTCGTGAAAGAACGGAACCTATCGAGAGTCAACGTTCCGCAACCTCCCGGTCATGATTTTGATATTGGTTCAAGTACGAACTCTGTCCACACTAAGTGTTCCGCAACCATCCGTTCGGGAATTAGCTGCTATGGGCATATGTTTTGTTGCCTGGCAACATATCTTTAAGTTAGAAATATCTGACGTGGATTCATTTAATAATAAATTTTACATGTCTTTAAATTGATTTTGTTTATTTGAACATGTTTATAGAGAAAGGCGACACCAGATGTGTGAATTATATGACCAACTAGCAGCGATATAATCATTTTATAGTGTTTATTATATTATGTCCACGTTTTCATGTGGTAGTATATGGTCGTTTACATTTTGTTTGTGGTCACTCTACAGGTCACATTTTTGTCCGCTTGAAATATAGGTTGATATCCGAAAGATATATTCTGCAAACACACATTTCTAAACCAAACAAAAATTATAAAACTCAAAGCTTTGACTGTGATGGTACGACGATCTAAAGGTCATATTTTTTTTTATCCAATTTTGATGAAACTTCAAAGTATGATTATAACCCACAGACCGTGGTTGGTTCCTGTCAATATTCGCACATATCGACGAATAGCTTCGAGGCCTGGCTCCTGATTGTACGAAAAATCGCTTCTTTAGCTTGTGGATTCTCTAGAGGTCAGAATTTGATGAAATTTAAAATCGTTGTTTATATCCCAGGAATGTTGATTCCATTCGCATATCGGACCGTAGCATCCCGGATTATTGACCCTGATTGTTCGGAAAATCACCTTATTAAAGTGTTTAATCGATAAAAAAAAACTTCCTGGCTTATGGCCGCAGATTGTTCGACCAAATCACATTATTACTCAGTGGTCTATCTAGAAGGCAAAAGTTTTATCCGTTTTTTTAAAAAAAACCGTTTAAATATTTAAGAGAGAGAGAGAGAGAGAGAGAGAGAGAGAGATGGGATTTAACGTCCACTCGACACAAACTAGGTCATTTCGGGACTAACATATGGTTTAATGTTATTTCAATAATTCGCTTGCGCGTAGGGGTCTTTAGCAGTGGGAGGATCCGGAGGAAACCCACGAAGTTGGACAGGACACCCTACTCCTTGTCACGTACAACCGGGGATTCGAAATCACGCCAGTCGACTCAATAGCAGACTATACGATACATCGCGCGCACGTTAACCATTCAGCCATCCAACCCCTCGTTTAAATATTTAAGCGTTACACCTTAAGGACGAATTCGTTGTTTATATCCCAGGAATGTTGATTCCATTCGCATATCGGACCGTAGCATCCCGGATTATTGACCCTGATTGTTCGGAAAATCACCTTATTAAAGTGTTTAATCGATAAAAAAAACTTCCTGGCTTATGGCCGCAGATTGTTCGACCAAATCACATTATTACTCAGTGGTCTATCTAGAAGGCAAAAGTTTTATCCGTTTTTTTAAAAAAAACCGTTTAAATATTTAAGAGAGAGAGAGAGAGAGAGAGAGATGGGATTTAACGTCCACTCGACACAAACTAGGTCATTTCGGGACTAACATATGGTTTAATGTTATTTCAATAATTCGCTTGCGCGTAGGGGTCTTTAGCAGTGGGAGGATCCGGAGGAAACCCACGAAGTTGGACAGGACACCCTACTCCTTGTCACGTACAACCGGGGATTCGAAATCACGCCAGTCGACTCAATGGCAGACTATACGATACATCGCGCGCACGTTAACCATTCAGCCATCCAACCCCTCGTTTAAATATTTAAGCGTTACACCTTAAGGACGAATTCGTGAATGTCGGACCGAAATGACCCCTCCCTGTACACAAATAGAGTAAAAGTATGTATTACCAAGGCTGTGTCACATTAATTGTCATCCAGGTTTGATGAAACTTAATATGTATATTTATCCCAATTCCCAAACGTCTTGGTTCATGTTGATATTGACCATGTCGAACCGTAATGGCCCCCTGATTGTACGAAAAATCTTGCTCTCTATCCATGTCTCGCAAAATGTGGGCAAATATTCCATGACTACCGTTTGTGTTTTTGTATCTAAGAAATGTGTGTAGAAATGTTTTGCCCCCGGTATCATCCAGAAATCTCCGCCATGCTGCTTCAATGACCAATTGTGTTTCACGATCAATTTAAAAATACCACAATTCGTCCAAATAGCCAAGAGTAAGCGTTGCATATATTAGGCTGACTTTGGAGGCTATATATAGCTACTGCTTTAATTTCATCATAAAATTGCCCAGCAAAATAAAAAATATTATTTGGCAGAATAATTTTTAAGTGCTTCTACAACAAATGACTTTGGAACTCTTAATGGGCATTCTGTATCCAGCTTATCTATCCAGTAATCTACAGTCTTTAATCCAAGATCTTTTTCGATGTTACTGTATAAATTTTCAACATCCAAACTGACTAAAATGTTGTTAGCGCCTACAGATTCTGGTAGTTTCCACACAAAATCTATACCATCTCGTAAAAAGCTTTTCACGAATGTACGAAAAGGTTTCAGGATAATATCTACAATGTTGCTCAATCTTTGTGTACCACTATTAGCCCCCCACCCCCCACTACGGGTGTAAACATTAAATCTGCCGGATCTATAATGGTTATGATAGCTTTGTTTTCCGTAGATACAGCTTTCTGAATAAGTTTACATGTATGCACTTCAGGGAGAAATCTGCAGGCTGTGGATTATAATTTGTAAGGTAACTTGTTTCTTTTGACGTTAGTGTTTGCAATCGTGAAATTCATTACCTTTTCTTAAATGACCAACATGTTTATGTCATTTAATGTATCAAAGAGAGAGAGAGAGAGAGAGAGAGAGATGGCGTTTAACGTCCACTCGACACAAACTAGGCCATTTCGGGACTAACATATGGTTTAATTTTATTTCAATAATTCGCTTGCGCGTGGGGGTCTTTAGCAGTTGGAGGAAACCGGAGGACCCGGAGAAAACCTACGAGGTTGAACAGGCGACCCTACTCCTTATCACGTACAACCAGGGATTCGAAACCACGCCAGTTGACTCAATGACAGGCTCTATGACACAGCGCGCAAAATTACTAGCCATTCGGCCATCCAACCCCCTGTATCAAAATAACCCACATATTGCACTCAATAATTGGTAAAGGTCACAATATTATTACAGTCATAAAATTATCACACCCTTGCCAAAATGGATACATGCATGCGCGTTAATTCAAAATTATGTCAAATTGTGTTGGGAAATTGTTTTTAAGTAGCTAAGTCTCTAACTCAATATCATCCAAAGTCTTACACATTGAAAACACGAATTATTTGTTAATTTCAATCAATGTTGATTTTGTGATCTTACTGGGAAAAGACAAAATACACATTTTACCATAATGCGTTTCAGTGCCATTTGTAACAAGGGACAAGAAAGAAGGAGCCTAAACATATTCCACAAGTCTGCCAAACGGTGACATCATCATATCTGGAGAACATATAGACTGGAATAACCAGACGCTAGAGATTGCAATTAGATTGAGACATCAGGCGTATTTCACAAAAACACAACTGATTTGAAATAGTATTCAAAACGGAAACAATTGAATGTAAATCAGTTTATATACATTCAGATTACATTAGTATATGCGTTGCGACCCGTTTGTGTCAATTTCGAGGTCCCAATTACATGTATTAGCGATTTAGCTCCTTTAACCACTACTGGTGCAAACGGCGCACGTTCAAAATTAAATGTTGGTTTATAACCACCCAGGAGACTGGAAACTGGCTGTGGATCTTGATCAGAAACTGACATTCCAACCAATATTAGTCCAGATATTGCTCTGTGGTCACCAGTGACGAAGAAGATTGTAGCCACTGAACTGACGGTTCCATGGGCAGAAAGCTGCACAGAAGCCAACAAGAGAAGGAACGCGAAATATGACCCATTGTGGATTGAGTGTAGAGGGAAAGCATGGCAGACCTTTAGAGGCTTTTCCACACAGTCTGTATGGAAAATGTTCTCTGCAGTAGGAGTGATAGGAAGAAGTAGACGAATGGCCCAGACAGCACAAAGATCATCATGCTGATCTATGTTCCGCATCCCTTTATTAACTTGCTGTTCCTCCTTTGGATGTTTGTCTTATCTCCCAGCGTTTCATCAAACCATTTGCCTAGGTAGCTGTTTGAATTCTCAATGATGGATGGAATGTTTTCATTCTGGATCACAGGACTGTACTGCCGTGAAACTTCTCCTTTCCTTATGATAAGAGATCTCAAGTTCCTGGGTTTAAAGTCTATTCTTGCCCCCTGAGGTTAACCCTGTTTCTGAATGGTAGCATTACATCTTCGCGTGTAATGAGATGTTTTCGGCCGTCAAAACTACCAACAAATATCTTTCCCATCATAGGTCCAACAGTTTTTGATAAACGTATGTGTAGAATAAAGCACGAGGACTTTATCTTGCTTATAAACCGTCTATGTTTACATGTACGTAAAATGAGAAAATCCCAGAATTCCAGTATGAAAAACCTTATAACATGTTTTCTTATAGAAAATAAAAACCTACCCTGGAAGAATAACCCGTTACAGGTGCAGAGAAAAACTTTCAGAAGAATAACCCCAAATTTCCCGGGAATATATCCAAAGCGGCCAATGACTTTCAGTCCACAAGTAATTCCGGGCATAGAATATACCCCAAAAATCAAAGAGATTTACCGTTTGTTTATAACTTTAAAGAGATCGCGTTTTTTGTACAATGCTGAGTGGGTTTTAGTTAGTGCTTCATTTATATATAATTTATATTGTGCTTAATATTTTACTCTTTCGGGTTCTTTTTATTTGCATGTACTGAAACCCTATCACGATAACTAACAAAGCGTACTGTGGTATCTCTGTGAAACTAGCCCTGTTTGTCACCAACTCTGTGGGTACGCCCAATATATGACTTGTCAAGCTTGATAGCACTATCAGGAAAGACATAACCGTTTTATAAAGACAGAATAATATCATCCATATTCAGCTAACTCGTTGATATCTTCAGGCACGTACGTCGGGAATATGTTATTCAAAATATATGGTTTTATTATTGATTTTTATATTTGAATTGTATCATAATCGCTGACGTTAAATA